TGCGTCTACTGCTTTAATACTTCGAAATTATGAAGTGGATAGGAGAAACACACTCCTTGGCAGAGATCAACGCGCACTTTGAAAGGCATAGTCTTCCTGCCATTAATCCCAATGTTCACCTCTGAACAGTTATGAATTGAGTTCAATTCAAGCAGTTCATTTCAATAACCCTGTGGTCACGCCAAGTTACACCTCCAGTTTTAACAGTACAAACGAACATCAGCTGTGTACTATACAGAGCTGAACATGAAATGAAGCTACTAATGGCAGAGAAGTTATCTCCTCATTTCCAGTCCATGCGTATACGCAGATTAGGAAGTTGGCCTGATCATGAATATTTAGAGCTGTTCATGTTCGTATTCAGCTGTGGTCACTGTTGGTTGTTGTTGCCCAATGGATTCCCTTGTATTCTACTGCCTACTTGAATTGGAGCGACAAGGCCTGTAATCGAGAGAGTTGAATAGAGCCTCTCAGATGAGGCAGACGTCATCTGGCGCCTGGACTCTATCTGCCGTTATGTCCTACTGAACTGTTATGGCAATTGCAAGAATATGAACATTGAAATGTAAGTATGCACTTGCCAGGGGTTGCAACGCGTGTATTCTCTTTGACTAAGGTATCTTAAAAAGTATTAGGAATTATATCATCTGACTACCAGATGCTCGTTAGGGAGCACCCCCGTTTTAAGGCTAATGATAGATCTTGCTGGTTGAAGCAGTTCATAAATATACACTATTTCTTGCGATGTGCATTTCAGATTTGAACATCTTGTTTTTGCTCCTCCTCCTCCTCCACGTTTCCGTATTCATTAACTTTTCCTCCGTACAGGTAATTTTCTGTAAATGCTGTCTTGTCACCATCTAAGGCAATCTTCCATAGGGTTGTTTGAAAAACTTGTCATTCATTCTATCCGTATCGTTTACACATGAAAATCCCTTTGCAACTCATTCCTCTCAATGATTCATTTATTTTGGCAATCCGCTAATCTTCTCGAGTAGATATAGGGCGTTTTAACATCTACCAAATTTTTATGGTCCTACGCCACTGCAACAAGCTTTACGTTCTGGATTCAAAGTC